TTTCACCCCTGTGACTCTTCAAAGTACTATGCAATCCAATGTGATGTCACAGATTGTGGATAAATATGCAGCTTTTCGAGCTTCCGGCGCAAACTGAGAATGAGGCTTCAGTCTCACAAACAACACCAAAAGAAAAAAAAAGCAACAAATTAGAAGAAAGACATCTGCATCTTCTAGATGAAGAAGGGAATATTGAGTAAGAGAAGAGAGATTATATTACCTCAGTATTTGGCACTGGTACAATCACTGCTGGAATAGTGTGTCCAGTTTGGTGTCCACAGTTCAAGTAGGATGTTGATAAATTGGAGCGATTTCAGAGAAGAGCCATGATAATGATTAAAGGTAGAGTTAAGGTGCTCAATCTATTTAGCTTAATAAAGAGATGATTAAGGGACACTTGATCAGAGTCTAAAAGTACAGGGAATGGAAATTTGATAATAGAGGGCTCTTAAATCCAACAAACAAAGGTAAAATCAAATAGATATTCAGACTAGAAATAAGGTACAAATTTTTAACAGTCAGGGTAATTAACCACTGGAACAATTTACCGACGGCTGTGGTATAGTCTCCATCACTGTATATTTTTAAATCAATACTAGACTTTTTTTTCTAAAAGACATGCCCTATTTCAACCACAGCTATTGGACCTGAAATTGGAATTAATTTGGGAAATTCTGTGGCCAACTGTCATAATTAGGCCTATAAATTTACCATAATTGTGAGTTCAACTATAAAAAGTGAGTATAAGTTCATAAGATGTCACAATAACCCATAACAACAAACATTGATATTATAAGATATTGTGACATCTTATGAACTTATAAATATTGATAGAAAAATGTACAAAAGGGAGACAGACTGAATAGTCTAAACAAAAAGGCCAACTGATAAAATTCAAGGACTGCGTTAAGTTCATGCCTGGTAAACAAGAACAGTGTGAGACTGAAAATCAGTGAACCAAAATTGGTATGTTGGATATGAGGGCTGAATGGTAGACAAAATAACGAGGATGGGCTATTCTGCCCATCACTCACTCTTGGGGTCCTTAAAGAGACAAATTGGCTACTGGAGCAAGCTTCACCATCAAGGCTTCCACCCACAACATCTCCTGGGACCTTGAATCTTCTTCTTCCTAATCCTGAGAGATGTCCTGACCAGACCAGGCCAGAGAAAGGGAACCAGATGACATCACTGCCTCTACCAGCTCTGTCTGAATCCCAAACACAACCTGGAATGGAGACTTTGCCTCCCTCCCCTCTGATGTGTCTGTTTCCTTCCCTTCCTTATTTCTTCTCTTTCCTATCGCTCTTCTTTTTCCTTCTGTCTAACAAGAATCTGTCTTAGCCGACCAAGATTATTTTGCAACACTGCCGTAAGCCTGTGACCAGAGAAGGGCAAATAAAGCAGTGCCCTAAACTGTAAAAGTTAACGTATCCAATTGAGAGTCTTATAATTTATCACCAACACCCATAAGTAAAAAAACAACATTTATAAGTATATATAAATATTTACATCTGGAATATATGGGCTTCTAGCCAGATAGGAGAAAACATACCTCAGGCAATGAGACTGCATATTCTCTACATAACGAAAATCTGCTTACAAGGGCCAAGAAAAGTATACTGTACATCCTATTGCTTTAAACAAAGACACAAAAACAAAACAACTAAAAACACAATATTAGTGTTAGTAGGAGAGTTATGGAAGTAACTTTCAGTCCTCCTGCAGAGTCAATAAAAATTCATATCCCACACGCCTACATCTCCACCCTAGGAGCAATGAAATTATATACTGTGAATATCTTGTATAGTCGTAGGAGCTGTAGAACCATTGTCTTATTTCCACAACTACCTTGAGAAAGGGTATAAAGTATAACAGCATCAATGAGCCGGGAAAGGGAAAATTAATTAATTTGTCAGCAAGATGCAACTGCATTATTTCAACAAGAGACGGCAACATATAAAGAAGCACTTTAAAAGAAGACATTCCTACTTCACCAAAAAGAGTCCCCACCCTACCCACTTCCCACATACACAGTGGCCATAATTCTATACTGATTTACACTCTGTGATGCCCCACTGAAATCAATGGGGTAGTGTCTCTATGTTTCCAGTATACTCACCATCACCAAAAGGTTCACCTTGACTATTAATAAGTTTCTCAGACTTTTTTAAATGCATAACTTGGAGATTATGGGGTGGATTGCACTAAATATTGTACATATACAACAGTGTTAGTGTATTAGCTACATTCGGAATAGTGGGACTCATTTCATTAAGAACTCATTGTTTTGTTTTTACTGCCCTCATTTTTCACTTTTATTTTTTATTTTACTTCAATTTTTTGGGGATCCCTCAAGGGAGAGTTTTTCATTGCCTTTCTTTTTAAGCAAACTTACTTAAGTAATAAAATCTTAAATGACAGACACACTGTATTATCTGTGGGTGAACACTTTTCAGAAAACAATCACTCCACGTCTGACCTCTCAGTCCTCATCCTCAAAGGAAATCTGCACAACACCTTCAAAAGGTGAGCCTGGGAATTTATATTTGTAACTTTGCTAGATACGACAAATCATGGATTCAATAAAGGCACTGAATTTATGGCTCATTACACTCAGTAACCTACTAACCGTTTTTTGTCCTACAACTGTGAGGTGTTAACTGCCCACTTCACCTTAAAAGGTCTTTTGCAACATGTGTTAACTCCTTTG